TATTTCACTATTTGTTCGGGAGTATTTGCTAATTGTTGTTTCAATATTCCTCCATACCCTATATCTGAGGCATCAGTTTCTATAATTAATTTTGCTTCTGGATTAGGTATTCCTAGACAGGGTAGAGTCTTAACTGATTTTTTGACTTCTTTTACTATGTTTGTCATTTCTAGGGTCCAAGGTTTAGGATTTTTTCTTAATCTATTAAAGAGAGGTTTACATAATATTCGAATATTAGGTATAAATTCTGATACGTAATTTAAACATCCCAAAAACCTTTGTAATTGTAATTTGTCTTTTATTTCATCAGGAAATTTTTCGGCAAATTCAATACTTCTTTTAATAGGAGTTATAGTTCATTTATTTATTTCATGTCCTAAAAATCTAATCTGGGTTTGAGCTAATTTTATTTTCTTTTGCGAAATTACCATTCCATTATTTTTTATAATATTTTTAAATATTCTTCAATGTTTTTTATGTTGTTCTATTGATTCGGAAAATATTAATACATCGTCTATATAGACAATGACAAACTTTGAGTAAGGGTTTAGTATATCATTCATTATTTTTTGAAATTCTGAAGGCGCATTTTTTAAACCCATAGGCATAACATTCCATTCGTATTGCCCAAAAGGTACAATAAAAGCAGTTTTATATTTATCTTGTTCTTTTAATTTTATTTGATAATATCCGCTTTTCATGTCAAATTTTGAAAATATAGTAGCTTTATAAATTCTGCTTATTAATTCAGTTTTATTAGGTAAAGGATACCTAGTCCATTTTAAAACTTTATTTAGAGGTTTATAATTTATTACCATTCTTGGTTCTCCTCTTTCTATTTCTGAAGCATTTTGCACATAGAATGCAGCACAACTCCAAGGAGATTTGCTTGGTCTAATAAGTTTTTTATCTAAAAAGGATTGTATTTCTTTTCTGCAGTATTCTAACGTTTCTTTATTTAGTTGTACTGGTTTAGCTTTAGTAGGAATATTCTTTTCTAAAAATCCTTCTTCATAGGGTAATTCTATTTCAAAAGTGTGCCTATTCCAAAAGGCGGTAGGTACATCCGCACATACTTCTTTTATAATTTCTTGTTCTATATTTTTAAAGGAGGTAATTACTTCAGGATTTTTTAACTGTTCTTCTATTCTTTTATGCGCTATTTCTTGTTTTAAATATTTTATATGGGTATTTTTTGCTTCTAATTTTAATAGAAAATTTTCTTCGTTTACATATGTTACTAATTTTATTTCTTTATTTTTTATTGGTTTAATAAATTCGAATAAAAGATTTTTATGTTTTATTCCTAGTTCAGATACTTCAAAAGGGTAAATTAATGCTAGAAATGGGGTTCCTAATATCATTTCTTCGCTAATGTCAAGAGTTAATATAAAAGTATTTTTAAAACAAGTTCCTTTATTACATATACTTGACATTTGATAATTTATATTTTACTTTTAGTTTTTCGAGTTGATTGTTCTTAGGGTTTGTAAAGTTTTTTCATAGAATTTTGTAGATATTAACCCTTCTCTTATATAATTTATATCAGCTCCAGAATCTACCAAAGTCTGTAAATTGTTTATGAAAACTATTTCCAATTTTTAATGTAGCTTTTATATGTCATTTTTGTTGTAAAATTTTTAGTTGATTAACCGTTTCGAGAGGTTGATTCAATTTTTAAAATTTCTTTATTATTTATAATTTTTATTTTTTCCTCTTGTATTTCATTTTTTATTTTTAATTCTACTAATTGAATTTTTATTTCTTTAATTTCTTCTTTTAACAGGCTTATTTCTTTTTGTAAATCTTGTACGTTTACAGGTTTTTCTTTATTTATGGCTTTACGTAATATTTTAGAAAAGTCATAACCACTTACTTCATTTTGTACGGTTTCTGTTTCTTTTTCACTTAATATTAATGTTTTTAATTTAGTTAGATATTCTAGCTTATCTTCTTCATTGGGAAGTTTATCTACCATTTCTAGAGCTATTCTAGTTTCGGTGGTTAAAACATTTATGTTAAATATGCAATCACAATTTTCTTCATTTTCATCTTCACTTGGAGTAGGTTCATTTTCACTACTGCTAGGTTCTATTAAATTATTAATGTCTTCTTCTGTCTCATATAATAATATTTTTGCTATTTGATTTTTTGTATCTTCACTCATTTCTAGGTTTTGTATTCGTTCTTTTACTCTACAATCTTTTTTCATATGTCCATATCTTCCACATTTATAACAAACTACTCCTTTCTTTGGATTATATTGATTATTATTTGTAGATGGAGATTTTCTTATATTTCTTTTAAAGTTTCTAGAGATTTTTCTATTATTATTCTGAGAGAATTTTCTCTTAATTATTTGTTTTTTAATTTTTCTTGACGGGGATCTAATCGTTCATATCCATATTGTATACAAAAATCTCCTAGTTCTTTAGTACCACTTTCTTGTTGTTTTTTAACTTATTTTTCTAATTTTAGATTATTATATATTTCTAAAGCAGTATTTTTAATGGTTGAAATTATTTTTCCATAGGTTATATCTTGTAATGGTTCGGGGTATTTCGAACTAATTTTTCTCTTACTTTTGTTGCAAATATCGGGGTAATCCTGCAATGAATCTTTCTTTCCAAAAAGTTTCTTTACAGTCTGTTCTTGTCATTACCATTATTATAAAATTATCTACATACCACCTAAAATCTCCTAGAGTGGGACATCTTAGATTATGTAGCAGAGTACTTGTTTTTTCTTCAAAAGTGTTAGAGTCACCCATAAAATTATGGATAATTGATATTATTAGGGTTTCTACCATTAGAGGTATTTGATTATTTCCTTCTTGTTTTACTCATCGTTAATATAAATCTTCTTTGATCTCGCGGATAAATAATTTTCCCACCATCCTTTTAAAGATCCCGTGAATCCTAGGATTAGTAATTGTATAGTTTGTTCTTCAGAATTTTTAGCCCTATAGGCTGAAGCAGCCATGGCCATTTCGTTTGTTTTTCTTAATAACTGGTAATCGGTTAATCCATCTATGTTCCATTCAGTTATTCCTGTTCCGTTAAATGCAGATGGACTTTCTAAATTCCATTCTTCAAATTGTATATCAGGTAAGGTTGGTCTTCTATAATAATTTCTAGTAGTTGGCATATTATGGGTAGTTGGATTTACATTAAATTTATTTCCTATTCTATTTATTTTTTCTTCGAACTCTATATTTTCTAGATCTCCTAATTCTTCTTCGGGGATATCTATTACATTTAGTTTTCGTACATTTAATTGTTCTAATTTTATATTTATTTCTTCTAATATTCTATCTGATTGATTTCCTATTTTAAATTCTTTGTATTCTTTATCAGATAATCTTATAGGATTTATTAATGATTTTTGTAAATCAGTAATTCCTAATGGATTTTTATTACTTGGTAATCTTTCTTCCTCAATAGTTTTTTGAGCTATTTGATGTAATATTTGATTTGTAAAATTTAGTTGACTATGTATGTTTTGAATATCGTTTATATTAGGAGTTTCATTACTATTTCTTTTTTCTCCTATCATTTTAAAAGGTGATGCAGTAACTTCTTTATTTTCAATATTAGGAAATCTTACTTCTTCTAAAGGGGGAATTTTACTAATAATCTCTTTATTTTTTGTTTTCCATATTTTTTCAGCGATTCTGTAATACATTAATTTGTAAATTTTCTAAGCAATTTTCTTCAAACCACTTAAAATATGGTATATTTTCTTGAATTAAATTTAAATATTCATAATATTTTTCGCGATATTCTTTTAATTCATTTTGAGTAAAAGTTTTGAAGAACCATTCTCTTTTTTCTTTATTATTCTCTTCTAAAAATTCTTGTCTTAATAAGTCTTTGTTTATTTCAAATTTTTTGATTACATTTATCATGCTATCATCTTGTTGTATTTCGGAAGCAGATGGAGAATTATGTGTTTCATATTCGTATTCTGGCATTGGTATTGTTGGGTCATTTTTTATATAATCACATTACCTAATTTGTGTTAGTTTGTACCGAACATAGACAATTAGGCATTATTTTATTCATAAATTCATAAACAGAACGTAATATCGTACAAGAAAACAAAAAAACAGAGATGTGAATTGTGATAAAAATTGAAATGGTTAAAACCCTCCTGCTAATAAAAACTAACATTCTAATCATTAGCATTTGCCAATAAAAAGAATTAATGTTACCACCAGTAGGAAGAACTTGGACAAACTTGCCCGAATCACCCACATTTGCTTACAACAGAACCAATTAATATTCATTAGTAAGCAGGTATTGAAAAAGCAAAAGTAATTTCAGTTCTCCCCCATAAAAACCCATTTTCCCTAAAACAATTCTGTAATATTCTCCCAAAAAACCTGTATAGAACAAAAAACTTTAATTACTCCCTCAGATTCAGTTATACAGTTTGAATCTTGAGAAGGAAAACCAATGGATCACTCATATCACAGCCAAAACTGCGACCGGATCAAAATATTTTTTTTTTTCCGGTCTAATGCCTCGAATTAAGAAGTTTCAGGAAAAAATGAAGTCAACCGAAGGTGATCCCAAATCAGACTAGAATTCTCACAACACACAAAAAGGACAATCAAAACGAGAAACAACGAGATTCGACTACATTCTGTTTTACCAGCCTCAACTGGCATCCATATATGCCAATCGTATAAAGCACCTATAAATGGTTCTCAGCAACAGATGCGGATGTATCCATCTACGCTTGAGAAGCTTACAGTTAAGAAAATATACCACCTATTAGTGTACAACGAAGACAGGGAGATTATGACTCTCCATCTTGAAATGCAAATTTGTATCAATAAAAAACAATGGTTTACATAGTTCATAATGGTATTTTCCTTTGATTTTACAATTCCAAAATATCATAGACAAAAGGAACTCGACTTTCCCCTTGCAACCATTAGGAGTTTAAGCCCAAGCTAACCCGAAGTAGCAGCAACCTTTTTGCCAAATTTAATTTCATGTTTTCGCTCCCAGGAAGGACTGCGTACAAATTTAGAATATATTGATGAATGAATACGTGTGAAAACAAAAAATAGAAAGCATGGAAACTATTAAGTGCAGTGTTATGTGATGTTATATCATCTCTTGAATTGAGTGACTGATTAGGACATTACAGTTTAGCTTGTTTTGGTCTAACACTAGGTGTCCCCCCACATAGACACACCCTTTGTGTGCGGGACTCCCCATTTTGCAATCTGATGACATGACCCTGGTCTTAAGGTGCTTCTAAGTCCAAGGCAATTAGACTCAAAACCCCCACAGCTGGTAAATCTGCCTACATGGTATGGTTCCGCTATTTAGAATGTTGCACTTTCTCAAGCTCAAAGTGACAAATGCAACATCACCCATTAACTGAATGGGGTGGGAACCATTTCAAACAACTGATACATCCAATACCCATGGTTGCATTGATGCATGTTTCAGTAGAAAAGCTTAGTTTTTGTGTATTTTTTTTACTGCTAAATTCAATTTCTCAAATGTTTCCTAGCAGGGTTAGCACATGAAATAAGATCATTCTAATTATCCTAATAATGTTGGAAATGACTGAATCTATGGAAATCCCCAAAACTAATCAAATTGAACACTAGGAAGAAAATATGACAAAATACCTAGAAAGTGGCAAATGTCTTCTCCAATTTGCCAGTCACCTAATCCCAAGCACAACCACCTCATCTCAGTTTTATATAATCATGACAAGTGCCTATTTCAAGTATTACTTTTTGAAGCCTTAGAATAAATTTTAAGCAAGATACAAAAGCCCAGCAATGTGTACAAAAAATGCCAAATCACAATAAAGATTGATACTCCAAAATATCTACATTTGTGCAAAAGGACAATATGTCACAAGCATTAGAAGATATGTACCTACTGATTTAAGCAAACATTGTCAGCCAATACTTAATAATCTTCCTACCTTTACACCTGCTGGGGAGTTTCCAGGCTTAGCAGTGGTTGTACTGCCAAAATTGTGCTTAGCCTTTTTATCAGCTGGTTTTAATATTTGGAAAGAGCACATTAGTGTTTCATCAACGCTCATCATAGCGCCGGCATTATCAAACTCCCCACAATAATTAGGCGCTGAAAATATTGTTACAAGCTGTCGATTAGCAAAGAACTCGTATCCATCTTCCACAACCTGGTAAGAAAATGCCGAAAACAAAAACAAATTATTTTCAAATAGCACAGTTGATTGAGGCCTACTATCCCCTAATCTAAACATGAAAGCATGTATAGTACAAAGCATCAGATGCTAAAGCTAGTGCATAGCACTCGAAGAAGTTTAGGCTCATAAATAAAGTTGTTACATATACAGGGTAAAAAGTGATTCCCAGCTTAACAAAATTAAGTATATGTAATAATGCCAAGAGATAGATTAAAATTGCAGGGAAAAGGAAATAAATTTCACAGTAATTTTAGTCATAGAAATAGAAATGCATGCACACTCAACCCTGAAGACCTGGTAACACATTAAGAACCAAAGGCAGAAGTTTAACCTGATGCGCTCGACAAACAAGATCAAGATCATGTTTCTGAAGAAACTCTGAGATCTTATCAGCACCAAATGTATATGAAACTCCTCTATCATTCATTCCCCATCCTTGAATTTCTTTGTTTGGATCAGACCAAAGGAGATCACAAAGCAAACCTGTATCAGGAACATCTGTGGGCCTCGGTAGATTTCTAATCTGATCCAAATTATGTAAGTCAGGAGAAAGTCCTCCATGCATACACAAAATCTTTTCATCAACAAGGGCGGCCACTGGCAGACAATTGAAGCACTCTGTAAATGTCTTCCATAACCTTACATTGAACCTTCTCTTGCACTCATCATAGAAGCCATATATCCGGTTTATAGAAGCACATTCATGGTTTCCCCTTAACAGGAAAAAGTTCTCAGGATATTTTATTTTATAAGCAAGGAGAAGGCAAATTGTTTCTAAACTCTGTTTCCCTCTATCCACATAATCCCCCAAAAACAAGTAGTTGGCTTCGGGAGGTAATCCACCGTACTCAAAAAGCCTCAAGAGATCAGAATATTGCCCATGTACATCACCTGAAACATCACATAAGATATGAATAAAAAACTTCAAAAACACAATATATTTCTTGTGTATAGCAATAGAGTATTATATGGTACGAACATTATCAGTGGGTAGAAATGTATAACATGTGAATATGAATATGAAATATACAAAATAAGCAAATTCATACTATGGGGCAACCTATATGGACCAATTGACATTAGAGATAAAATAATTCATGTGCTTTCACTAGATAATTGTTAATAAAATTACATTAGAGTCTCTATGCCCATGTGATCAAGAGTTCAATCCTCATGGCCCTCATTCTTGAAAATATAACTTCAAATTCAGATACAAAGATTTATGTCATGTGGGAATAAATACATTAACAAACATGAATTATATTAGCAATCACTGCAGAGACATAGAAAAATTATCACACTTTTTGATATTGCAGTTTAAGTAAACTAAACCAACATGAGGTAAATTGCTAGTACAAGTTCAGTGATGTTAATTGAGAGACATTTTACAGGCATTTTTCTTTTAAATCAATCAAAATTTTGTTTTACCCAAGAAAATCATATAAACATACAATATGAATCATGCACATGCTCAAAACTCATTATATGATTATTTCACTTGTATGCATAGATTCATCAAGTACATGCAAACACAAGAGACAAACCTCAATTTAGGTTATGTTCCACAAAGAAATAATTGTTCATTACAAATGCAGTGATTGTAGTCCAGACAAAAATTATCAGTAAGTGTCGAAAAGATAACCCCTAACCAGATAATCATGAAAAAGTAATATGCATGAAAATCAATTACCAATGTGTTCAATTCAAAAGAGAGGTCTCCTTGATTTGTTTGGTTTGTTTCAAGAGAAGGAAAGGAGAGGATAGGAAAATATCACCAGGTTCAATTGAAGGTGAGAGAAAATATGAATAATTATACCCATACAAGTTAACGGAGGAGATGAAAAAAAAAAAACATATAATAGCAAGACAATTTAATCCGTCCAAAAATTGTAAAAGCACTTCCCTCCCTCCCCTGCAACTTTTTTTAACCAAACAAGGTATGATTAAAATTACCCACGCCCCCCCTCTCCTCTCTTCGTCTCTTAAACCAAAAAACACCATAAAAAAATATGGAAAAAAAAAAACTTGCAGCATATTGATTTAGCTATACTATGCCCTACACTCACTAAAAACCCATACTTCACTTCTCAAAACTCACATTATATGGTAAAGTGTTTGGCGAAATGTTCTCAAAGCTCTCAAGTCTCTCCCATACATATATTCATCAAGGAAATGGAAAGATAAAAAGGCAAACTTCGGTCAAATAAAAACTATTTGCAGATTATATTTGACTACACGGATTCATCAATATTCAAGGATTTTGTTCAGATAATGACTCCAATACATAGATTCATCAAGAATTCACGCACGCTTTTTTTTTCTTTTTTTCTACTGCGGGGAATCTCATTCCATACATATTCCACAAAAACAAAACACTTCAGTACCAGTCCAATCAAATCAGGATTCTCTACAGACTACAGTTTTACTGCAGGAGCAATCAGAGAAAGATAAGTAAGTAAAAAAAAAACACGTGGCTCCCAATATTTCAAATACCATCTGTACATGCAGTTCAGAACACACTAAGCCAGTCACTAATCCCTACTAATCCAGTTCAAAACACACTCGTCAGTAGACATGCAAATCATAAAAACTTAACAAAAAAAAATGCAATTCAAAGCCCTCAGATCATATCCAAAACCCCAAAATTAAGAATAGTTATTAGTGCTCCAGGTTTGAATTTGACCAAATTAGACACACACAGAGAAGGGGAGGTAATACGAAGAGGAAATAGGGCAAAGAAGAAAAAGGAATTTACCACAAATCTTAATAGGAGCTTCGAGCTCCAATAAATTAGGTTGTTGCAAGAAAATCTCTCTGGAAACGACGCAGAGTTGACGGATCTCGGACTCCGATAGCTGGACCTGCTTCCCCGGTCGAGTACGAACTTCGAGGAGGCGATTGATTATGTCATCCAAAACCGATTGCTCCATTCTCTTCTTCTTCCACCAAAGTCAACGTCTCTATTCGAAGCGAGGAAGCGAAGAACAACAACAGTGGTAGGAGTTGGAGTTGAAGTTGGAGTAGAAGAAGTGAGTGAATAACATGCCTCAACTCAACAACGCAATCGTCAAGCGTTAGGAGTTGCGGTCGTTTTGAACGCAGGGGGTGTCGTTTTGCGGCCCGCCTGGGTTTTGCACATTCCTTTCGCCCAAAAGGAGAGGCTTTTACTTTCTTTCTTTCTTTTATTCAATACCAAAATAGAAAAATCACAATTTCTTTCTTTTTATTTTTATTTATATCAATTTTGTTTTCTTAAACAACAACAATGCCCCTTTTTAATTTTTTATCAATAAAAAATACTCCTGTCGTTTTGTTTTCCTTCTCATAAATGAAATAAAATTCCTTCTTTTTATTGGTAACGTTGCTTATGCTATTATTCAATAACAAATTGTAGTGCACAATAAATTTTGTTCATATCTATAATAGCTATTTATGTTTAGAATTTTACTATTAAGTGGGTATTTTTCAAATCAACCATAATGTATACGAGGATTAAGATGTTTAGGGTTTGTTATTTTTATCAAATATTTTGTTTGTTTCATAACACAGCCTTTTTGTTGGCTTTGTTCATGCAGAGTACTTGGCGATCCCCACAAACTTTCCATTGTGCTGTCTGTTGCTGTCTCCCACAGCTAAAAACAATCTTCTTTGGATCCTACTATTACACAGAAATTAGCTTCTTGCCTCATTATTATTTTACAATAAAATTTACATCACAATATGGTGTTTGAAAGCACACGTAACACAACATGTTTCCCCATCTCAAAACTCTTTTTGACGTTCGGCAATCAGCACATTTTTCTCTTTGTTCTTAAACTTGTTAAGCATTGGTTTAACCAATGCATATAATTTTAGATATTAAGTGCATGTTTATATTGTTCTTTAAAAGGTTAAACTACTTCATACTGCTTCCATCTTTCCATGAAATAGAAAAAGACCAAAGAGAATAAGAAAACGGTGTATTTTATAAAGTAATCGATACTTGGAATGACATGTAAAGAGACGTGATTGATTATGAAACTATTACATCAGCAAAGCGATATGAAATTCTTTCTTGATTTCACTTTAATTTGTCCACCAACACAAGCTTAGTTAAGCTTCAGTTTTCTCAACTGTGATGGCTTCTTCTGCTGCTTCTGTGGCTTCGCTCTCATCATTTGCTTTCTCATCTTCCGCTGGTGCTGTTGGTGCTGATTTCTTTTCAGCAGTTTCTGTGTTCTCCTTTGCTGTTGGATCTTCTATTATAACTTCTCTGGCCTTTTCCTCAGTCTTCTCTATCACCACTTCCTTGGTATCAACAGTAACAGTGACACCTGCACCATTAATGCCTGATTTTTCTGGGATTGTTTCCTCAATCTTGGTCGTTGCCTCCTTCTTAGTTGTTTCAGTTTCTTTCAATGTTGCTGGCACTTTTTCATCCTGCAAGATCCAATTTCAATTCAAACAGTTTTCTAAGCAGATTCTTAACTACATGGAGTTGTAAAATGAGACACCATATAATCAGATATGGCAACTTAATTACACAAAAAACAAGTGGATCATTGGATCGATACAGCCCAGGACGATAAACTAAAGATTGGATTCATGAAATTGAGAAATGAATCTCACAACAAAAGTTAGAATTCAATCTCCTACTTATGCAAGAAGGGTTATATATATACTTGACTTGAGTTAATTACCTGAACACTGGTCATTGCGAAAATGCAAAGAGTGATTATATGTAAGGAACCGAAACTAAACGAGATATGAGTATATAGTTGTGAGGAACATCTGAAAGTGAGAGAGGTATATATATAGTGGTTTGAAGTTAAAAGTTCGAAGATCAAACATTGGAGACATAGATACTGGTGAGCACATAATGGAAGAATATTTTTTCAGACACACTCCATTTCACAGACAGAGATAAAATACTTGAATTAAGGACAGAACATAAAGTGAAAGAAGAAAACACAATCATGGCTGTGAATTGTTTGATGTAACTTCCGGGACAAAATTACTTTCCCGAAAGCAATTAGTGCTTTAATGAAATCAACTTAGAGGCAGTGGACATAAATGTTGAACAAACAAAAGCTTGCTTACCGTAATTGTCGTAAAATTAGGTGCTTTTTACTGTTAAGGTGAACAATTTTAAGGTTTCATAGATTGGTTTTTGCTAAAGAAAGTGAGGATGGATGCGTGAAAGGAGAGACCAGTGTCGGAGCCGCATCAGAAGCATGATTACTCTTCGGGACCCCACATTAAGATAGAATCAACTCCTACAATTCTCAACAAATCAATAGCATACCACTATTTTTAGCCCAAATTGTTAATAGTAATCCCGTAAGAAAGAAACTAAAAATAAAACAAAATCATTATTTTAAAAAAACTTCCCCATAATCAGTTTCATGTAAAAATTTAAAACAATTTTTTCTTGAACTAAAATTAAATTTATATAATTTTTAGAATTTGTAGGAATTAGGATCTAGGATAAGAGAAATAACTTCTTTATCCTACACTTGAAATAATTGTATCTCTAATGTCTATATATATTGAGTAATATGATTAGATTATTATTTTATTCACATCAATCACCCCTTCTACATTTTAATTTAGTGTAAATGTTACGAAATTATTCTATACTATATTTAATTTTAAATTGGTATATAATATTTTTATATTAAAAATAAAAAGGCATTGTTGACCAAAATTAATTCCCAGACATAAAATTCGTGATAATTCTTGTATAATTACATCCTATCCTTGTATAATATACTAATAATATATCATATGGAGTATTAAAAAATATAAAAACCAAACAAACTGGGAAATAGAAGAAAAAAAATACTAATCGAATCAAATTATATATAATTTTATTTATTACATATCTGCAAAATTACCTCATGACTTATTTATGATATTATATTTAATTAAGGATATATAAGATGTATGAATGGTATATTTTCAAATTTATTCTTTCTTTTTATATGTATTCTTATACCATAATTATAATAAATATTTACTTTTAATATAATAAAATATTTTATCTATCTTTAATATTATAATTATCTCAAATATTTTTTTAAGTATAGTTAAAGTGTTTTGTCAGGTTTATAGAATATTAATTACCTTGTTAAAGAAGTTATCAGTTTTATAATTTGATTTTATTAGTTTTAATTATCACATCACGCTCATGATTTGAAAACATGTATTCTTAAATATATTTTTGACAAATAATTTCAAATTATTATTTTACTATCAATTTTTTAAATAATATAACTTTTTTTTCTTACGATATTTAAAGCTCTAAACATCAACATACACTGTAATATAAAATTAATAATTATTTGAACGGTCAAAAATATAAAATTAACAAATTTCTTAATTATGACTGTTAAAAACTTAATCAAATAATTTGTTGGGTATAAAAGTAAGACAAAATATTATAATTATAGTAAAAAAATATATTTATTATATAATATTAAAACATATTTTACCTTTTTTTTATTTTTTTACTAAGTTTATTGTATATTTCGTCCTTTTTATTTGATTAGTGTTTCAAAGTTGTAAGTGCCACTTCATAGTAAATATAAATGATTAGTACTAAAACTTAATTTTCTTAAAATGATATTTTGATTTTGTAGATGAAAAAAATGATTACCGGTCACAAATTAGTAATACTCTATATTAATTAATTGACGGTCCATATTAATAATGTGATTAGCCAGCAAAAATGATAAGAAAATATATATTTTTGTATTTTGTGTTTGTTTGAGTTTTAAGATTGCAACAAGAAAATCAACAATGGTTATTAATGTATTAATTTTTGAAAATTATTAATGAAATGTATCACATAAATGATTTCTCGTGTTAATTAAATTTAAAGTAAAATAACTAATTGATAGGATACAATTCAATGTTGTAAATTTTAGATGGATAATAAAACCAAAGTAAAATAAATGCTAGAATAACTAGAGTCATCTCTCTCTTGTTAAGTGCTGTTTGTCTATATGCCAGGAATGACGTCCCTTGTAAAAACGCTTAACTCCCCCAGTTCAACCCATCACATAGCATAAATGCTTATTAACTTCTTTCATCTTCTTCTTCTTTAATTTCCCTGTTTGAATCATAACTACACCCACAACCCTCTTTTTGTTCAACTTAGGGGTGGTGGTGGACCAGTGCAATGGGTAAGAGAAAGGTTCACACTTTATTAAAAAAACCAGAACATAGTTTCTCCAGAAACTATGATGAACCAAGAGAAGGGGCTATGAACATGTCGATCATGCGAAGGCCTAGGGGTCGTCCTCGAGGCTCAAAGAACAAGCCCAAATCAGCATTGCTCATGACCAGGGACACCCCTAATGTTATCGAAAGTCACATCATCGAGATACCAGGCGGAACCAACATCACAAAGAGCTTGATCCAGTTCGCGAGAAGGAAAGAACGAGGCTATTGTGTTCTGAGCGCCACCGGGAACATCAGGAACGCGACACTGCAGCAGTCGTTGATCCCTGACACGGTGATGACGGTGGAAGGTGAGATGCAGATACTGTCGTTGAGCGGTTCATTTTTGGCCGGAGCTACACCACCTGATTTATCTGTTCATCTGGCGGGTGGTAAGGGACAAGTTGTGGGGGGCAAAGTGGTGGGTCCATTGGTGGCATCAGGAACAGTTATCGTAATTTTGGGTGCGTTTTGTAGTGCTGCATTTGAGAGATTACCCATTGAGGGTGAAGAAGAGGTTTCCTCTTCCAATCCACTGTATCACGCATGATTCATTCACCCTTGGACTCTTGCTCGTGCTAGGCCACCCTTTTCACCATCTTCATCTGTTTACCCCATTTTAGTGTAAAAAAAATCGTCACTTTTCTTTACAAATTATAAACATGCTATATATTATTCAACACAGGACCTTTTTTATTCTACTAGTTTTGTCCTAAATAAAATATTAATTATATCATCTCCGAAACATATTAGGTTTTGTTGATGTAGAGCACACAAGATCTGTTATGATGTGCATTTTATACCAAAGACACACAAGGAATTGTGAGATATAAAACAGTATTAATGCATCCTAACATCAAATTTTAAAACTTTCGCAGGCCACCCATACTCTTAAAATTACTATATATGCCCACGATTTGTGATCATTTATCTTGAGTGAGTTAATACAAAAACCTTTTTTTTTTTACTGTGGACGAAGTTTAAAATTTTATTAATTAAGTTAAAAAATTATAAATAAATTTTTTTATATAATTTTTTTATCTTAAATTTGTTTATTTTTTTCACTCTATCTCACATTATTTTATAGATTTGTCATTATTTTTGTGTCACTGTTTTATATTTATTTTTGAAAATAGGTTATATGATAAATCAAGCAATCTGATAGTGTCATAAATTCATCCGCTCAGTGGATTTAAAACAAAGTTGAAAAGACTTAAATTATTCTTAACAATTTTAAATCTGTCCAACTGTACAAATTTCGCTCAATAAAATATTATTTTGATTAGCAAAAATTTGACAGAAACTAATACCAAGAGTGTATACATAATCCTCTTAGTTATTTAAATTTCTCTCTACGGATTTGAAATTTAGTATTCTTGATTTTCGCTCAACCACGTTCGTAAATAAAAAATATATTCTAAAGATTTAAAAGGTTTTAAAATGTGTCTATTCAACCCAATGTAATTAATTGTTATATATATATATATATATATATATATATATAGTTAGAATGTTAGGTTAAATACTAAACGGATTATATGATTTTTGTTTTAAATTATGTTGGAATTTAGTGTTGTTATGAAGATGTGTTCTAAAGTGAAAAATATAAATGGGTATTATAATATATTTAATACTGTGAATATTTAAATTGAAATTCAATAAGAAATTATTTTAACTTAACCTATTATTAAAATCATATAGACGAAAGAATTAGAGGGTGAGGAACGAAGAAAACTTTTAAATCTAATTTGAGGTGAGTAAATATTTTTGTTTAATATTTTTGTTTTTCTATATAAGGCTTCGTAAGTCCCTTATGCTGGGGCAGAAGCTTAAGTTAGTAAGCATTTCCCTCTCTCTCCTCTCTCTCTTCTCCTCCTTCTCTCTACTTCTCCCCCTCTTATGTAAATTTCTTACTATTAATAAGAGAAGTCATTCAGCATCTCCCCTCTCCTTCTCCTTCTCTTCCCCCCAAGTAAGTGCTATCTGCTCCCCCTTATGGAGTAGTTTTCTTATAAGGGCGTCCTCGGATGCCTTAAGCTTTATTTATTTAAAGATACGATAATCATTTAAAGGCTTAAATAATTTTTGTACAGCTTTATTTGTGTTCATATAAGCTTATGAGGAGATGTCTAACCAGCTTTGCCAGATTCAGTCATCTCATAATCTTATCATGGACTTGTGTGTTTATTTTTCCTGTCTTTACTTTTCTGCATTTAATTTCGTTCATGTAAGCTTATGAGGAGATGTCTAACAGGCTATGCCGAGATTCGATCATCTCATAATCTTATTGTGAACACTTTTCTTGCTATAACCGACTTTATCTCGGACGAGTCTTCATTTTAGCTAGCCGGTTTCGGGTTCTCCGTGAGCTAAGTAGCCACGTTGGCCAGACGGAAGAGATAAAGAGTTATAACATGTTTTAATTTATTTGTTTTCTGTCTCTTTACTTTCCTCCTTTCCATCCCCCTTTCGGGTCTCAGGGCAGTTTATTCTAGGTTCATCCCCGGTTTTCTCTGTCTTGTTTACCCTTCGGGTATCTGAGCAGGTTTTCCCTGCTTTCTCTGTACCTTGTGTTTTTGGGGTACTCGGTTATCCGAGTTTCCACCCTCTTGTCCTCCCCTCTCTCTTGGTATCGGAGCAAGGACTTTCCTTGGTTACCTTGAATATGATTTTTTGCAATTGAAGCTGGTTTGTGTTTTACGAGATACCCGGCCCGGTATCCGGATATTTTTGCAATTGAGCTGGTTTGTGTTCGCTAGGATACCCGGCCGGTAGTAGGGCGAGGTTGAGGCCGGGGAGTGCCATGTGACCCTAAGTCCGCGTAGCTACCTTTGTGGGTTGAGGAACACGTTGCATATTGCGGCAGTCTTTGCGAAAGTATTTAGTACCTTTGTGGATTGAGGAACACTTTGCATATTGCGGCAGTCTTTGCAAAGAAAAATATTTTCGTTTTTTTTTTAATTCTCTTTCTTGTTTGTTTGTGTGTTTTTCTTTTTATCACTTTATATATAAAAAAAAACATAAAAATCAAAAATTGTATAAAATCAACCAAAAAGATTTTCATTTAAGCCTTATGATTATCTATATTCTTTTATAAATATTGCTTTACAGTGTATTCCTTAGATTCCCTTATCCCTCTCCACTTGTCTGCTGCCTTACTTACTTGCTCTCTGATTTTCTGCCTTTTTTTTAATTTATTTTTGTTTTAAAAATTTTAATGGAAAGGTTGAAGCCTTTCACCACAAAGCCTTTGGTAGACACTACACAACCTGTTTCAGGCAAAAACTACAAAACAGCTTTGACAGCTGTTGAACAAAATATCTTAGATAAAGATTACAAGACAGCTTTGATAGCTGTTGAACAAATTATAAATTTCCCTTTAGTGGGATACAAAAAATCTATACTAGACAGTATAGATAATTTTCTAGAAGAAATTTCTAGAAAATTAAAAAGATTGATATTTCTATGTGGCAGTATAGAGTATATGAGATACTTTAAGTCACGTAGAAAAAACCCTTGGGGTTATTTAGCTAACCCTATTGCGGATAGAGACTACCAAGAAGCGGTAGATACCTTGGTAGTAGAACACAGAGAACTACAGGATTGGTTCTCAAAAACTTTATCAAACCTAGACCTAGAACCAGATAGGTCAGAGGAAAATAGGAATAGTATTTTTACTATCCCTAAAAACGAAAACAGTCCTATGATAGGATGTGAAATAGAAACAATAGATAATGTATCTTTTGATGACATTATAAATGGATTTTTAGATGAATTTTATCCAGATGAAGATGATATATCGGATAATTTATCTGAAATCTCAGAACCCTTAGATACCCTAGGGTCTGAAAACATGAGTGTAGAATTAGATGATTCTCAATCTCAGATAGAATCTGATGACGATTCTATAAAATCACTACAAAATACTGGTTTGGATAACAACCAAAACCCTACACTAGACAATATGCCTTGTATGGAGCTGAGTCTACAAACCCCTAAGCTTCTTCTTAACTTAGGAGAAACATTAGACTATTTGGGTAATGGTTTAATGAACACAACAGAGAAAAATACATGTTGTCATGACATTCAATTTTTCTCAGGACCAGGATCCATTCCTTGTCTACATTGTGAAAGATATTTTCACATCTCTCAAAGGGCTCATTGTCCCCTTTGTTACAAAAATTTCTGTATAGATTGTTTAAAAACTAAACAGGGAATACAGGATATACCTACTTTCTTAGGAAAAGAAGAAAGTACAAAAGACAAAAATTTAATCGACACTAGGACTTCGAGTCTTAGAAACCGATTAAACTTAATTGAAGAAAAGGTTCTTCACTTAGAAAAAATTGTTAAAGGAAAAGATACTCAAAAAGATTTAGTATCTTTTCATACACAAAACAACATGATGGGAACTACGGAGCGTATCCCATTAGTTTGTAATACAAAACAACTAATAAGCTGTTAAAGTATTAGTTAAATTAAACTTTCCCGAGAAAGACAAATATCCTGCCAAAGAGGTCTGTAGTTCAAGCACTCTTAGATACAGGATGTTCTGAAATAGTTGTATGCAAAACAAAAGTACTCATATACATGATTACTAAAAGTAAACATGTACAAAAAACCAGAACGATGTCTGGTCAAATAATGATAAATGATGAAGAGATAAGAAATATCTCTCTTCAATTTAGCACAAATTGTGACCTGTTTGGTCAGAAAATACACATCAAAACTATGAGAGTGGAAAATTTAGTCCCCTCCAAACAAAACATGATTATTGGTTTAGATTTTATCCTAGGCCAAGATCGAACTATCACTATAAACAAAGATTATGTTATAATTAGTGATAGAACACAAATGTCTCCCATAATTAGTGGCGACAATCAAAAATACCTAGAACAACCTATGGATGGATGTTCTTGTAATAATCCTAGATCTCCTGACACATGTGATTGTCAGGAACAAGATTTAGAAAACTTAGATTATTACTACACAAATGATATCATGGAATCTTTTTCTTCCATAAAGATATCAAAAACAATCACGTTTGACAATATCCAACGAGATATTGGATAGGTTAAACAAAACAAGCATAATAGGAGAAGACCTACGAAGTTTTGGGATCGTGATCCCGTTATGTGTAAACTTAATATAATCAATCTGATTTGATTATAAAAACCAAAGACATACAGTTTAATAGCGGGAACAAGAAGAATGTCGATTGCTTATCGACAATCTTTTGAAAGCTGAAAGTAATAACTCCTAGTGAAAGTCCACACGGAGTCCTGCTTTCATTGTTAACAAAGCTTGAGAACAAAAAGAGGTAAATCAAGGATGGTTTACAATTATAAAAGACTTAATGATAACACGATCGAAGATGGATATACTATTCCATCTAAAGATATTTTGATAAACCGCATACAAAATGCAAGATGGTTTTCAAAATTTGACTTAAAGAGCGGGTTCCACCAGGTTAAAATGGACCCTAACTCCATAAAATGGACAACTTTTTCCTGTTCAGAAGGATTATATGAATGACATGTTATGCCTTTC